CATTTACACTGGGTTTAATCTCTCTATTTAAAAGAGTTAGAGATAGTTCTTTCTCATTGAATCTAGAAAAGAAATGAATTAACTCAGTTTTATTCATATCAAATTGAATTTAATTGATATCTGCTCTAATAAAGATTTCCTTTGCAGCTTCTTTAGTCACTTTCAAATTCTCTTTGATAGTTTTTGAGCTGTAGACTAGATCAATATCATTCACATAACTCAGAGATCATACTATTCTCATATTTCTATCTTTGAATAGATATGCAGTGTATATTGCAAATAAAATAGATGAGATTGAAGATTCTTGTGATACTTCTATTTTTATCTCAGTCTTGTCTTATTTCATTCTATCAAAGAAAAGTTATATGATTCTTTTAGACATAAAACAGTTAACTCATTTTATTAGAGAAAGTGACATTTTTAACATCTTCAAAGTCTGAATTAACTTTGACTTTGAAACATGATCAAATGCTTCTTTTATATCAATAAAAACTGCAGTTGAGACCAGATCTTCATGCTTTGCTATTTGAATATCATGAACAACTGAGAGAACAGTGTCAATTGCAGAACATTGTTTTCTATCTCTCATTTGTTCACTGAATAAAAGAGAGTTATTAATAGAGCTTATAAAAGATAGTTGAGTAGCTATTATCTTTTCCAAAATCTTTTCTAGACAGTTTAATAGAGATATTACTCTATATAACTTAGAAATTGAAGTTTTTCTATTAGGTTTTGCAAGAATCACTCTAGTGACTTCTCTCCAGCATTCAGAATGATATCCATTTTTCAAGAGATTGAAAAAGAGCTCAAAATATTCATTCTTTAAGTAGGAATATGTATTTTGAATAATCAAGTGATTAATTGAATCAGGCCCTGCAGCAGTTTTAACAGAACTTGAGAAGATAGCTGACTTTAATTCATCTTATGTAAGATCAGGTCATTTCCAGTCATTTTCATCAATATAGTTGAGAAGTGATATATTCTCTTCCTCTGAATCTGAATCTGAATCTGGTGAGTTCTGAAAGAGAATTCTCATGAAAGCTTGACATTTTTCCTTAAAAGAGTTTGCTGTATATGATTCATTCTGAAACTCATATTCTAAGACTGGAAGTTTTGCTACACTTCTTGTTTTAGTATAGTTAAAAGCTTTAAAAACTTTCTTCCCTTGTGCTTCTTTAAGAAATTTATTCCAGCAGTCTGTTTTAGCTCTTTTAATATCTGAAAAATATTCATTTCTGACAGCTTTGAACTCTTTATCAGATATTACATCATTCTTTTAATCTCTTCTAGTAGTAGCTAATACTTTTCTTTTAGATGAGATATTCTCATTTCATCAAGGTTTTGAATACTCAGAAGATTTTCTCTTTGAAATATTATCTCTAACACTTGTTAGAATAATAGATGTAATAAGCTTCACTCTATTCTCAAGCATTTCATTTGAGATATCTTGACCAGAATTTCAATATAGCTCATTCTGCCTTTCAGATTTTAACAGTTTTATGCTTTCTTCAACTGCTTTTCAATCAGCTTTTTCAAAGTTAAACTGATTAGAGAGAAGAGAATTTTCACTCATTTGTTTTTCACTCAGTTCAATATCAAATTGAATAATCTCATGACCTGATCCTGATGTCTCATTTGAATCAATGAACCAGTTTACAAGTCTTCTTTTCATTAGATTTTGTGACATGAAGATTAGATCTATAATAGATTTCTGTTTCATGTCTTTTCTAAAGAATGTTTGTTGATCAGACTTATTAACCAAATCTATTGAATGCTCAAAGATTCATTCAACTAGATTATCAGCTCTCACTGCTCTCTTGCATTCTGAATTTCATCAGAAATGATGTGTATTGAAATCTCCTACAATTATAGAGTTTCTTGATGAAGTTATGTTCAGAAATTCTCTATTAATTATCCAGATATTGTTATTTTTCTTCAATGAGTTTTCATTATAGATATTTATGAGCTGTATAGTATCAAACTCATTTTCTTTATCTATAACATCACTCACCAGAATATCAGGGTCAGACATGATATTAAATCTTAGATTAAATTGATATCTTGATCTCTTTCTTTCATAGATCACTACTCTTGACTTTATCTCAGACTTTTGAGGTAGAAAGCAGTAGTAGCTTGAATGAGAAATGATGTAATTTTACTCAGCATCAAAATTCAGTTCCTGAAGTAGTACAAAATCAACTTTTTGTTCAAATGCAATTTGAAGACAAGAATAAATACAATTTGAGTTTCTATTCACATTATTTTAAATAAATGTGATTTTTGAAGAGTTTTTAAACTTTTTTTGTTGTTTTTGTTGTATATTCATACTAAAACAGAGTAGAGATAGAGTAGAATCTAGTCACTATCATCAGATAGTAGATTATAACTATTTTGAAAAGTAGGGATCTCAACTGCTTACATTATATCTAGTTTATTATCAGAGTCATTTCTCAATTCTCTAATCTTAACAGAAGTTTGAGGATTCAAATTCTGTTTACATTTAGCTGGAGAATTGAAGTTTGAAGATTTAGATAGTTGAGAGTTTCTTCTTTTTGAGCTTGCAGTTGTAAGTCTACTGGCTTGACTCTTCTCTTCAGTTCTAGATTGACTTTGAGCTTTATCTTTTCTCCAGTTCTTTTGAGTTCTAGGAGTAAACATACATTCTTTTAAGCTAGATGCATGTTTTTCTTTGCAATTAGAGCACTTAAGCAGAGTGTGTTGACATATTTCACCTCTTTTTGAGCATGTTTCACACTTATGCTCACTAGTTTTATGATCTCTGGCACAGAATGCACATTTTGAGTCTCTAAAACATGAGATTGCAAAGTGTTCATATCTTTGACAGTTTGAACACTGTGTTTGAGCTTTGAGATTCATTCTTGAGTCTTTGTATTCATAAACTCTCATTTTCAAACCTGCTACTCTTACTTCAGAGATCTTTGACTGTTCAAGTGTTTTTGTATATACTAGAACAGAGGCATTTCTCCTGCTTTGTCTGAACTCAATTGAATTTAGTCATACAGGCTCCTTTCTCAGTTGAATAGAGTTGTATTCTTTCAATTCATTTTTGAGAAGTAGCATTCCTTCTTCACAGTCAAAAATTTCAACTGGAATATCATGAAGAATGAATTTGTCTCACTTTTCATCTCTTTCAGATAGAATTATTGTGTTTAGCAAAGATTCTACTGCTGACTTTCAGAGATTCTCATTCTGAATAAGGAATTCAGCACTGAATTCAGGCATTATAGTCAGAATGATGAAGTTTTCAAAGAATGATGACTCAATTGAAGCTATAACTGGTTTTTGAACTTCAATATTAGTTATCAACTGAGAAAAGAACTGCTGATTAATTTCATTTCTAATTCTGAAAATGAGATTTGAGTTTAGCTTGTTTCTTTGCAGAATGTCCTGGTTTGAGACTTTGAGAATAAGTCTTCTATTTCTGAAGATTTAGAAGTTTTTCTCTTTTTACATTTTCTTTTTCACTTTTCTATGAATAGAGATATGAGCAGTATTCTTCTCAGTTTTCTCAGGATTTTGAGCAGGTTTTGAGACAGCAGGTTTAGAGACAGCAGATTCAGCTGCTTGAGCATATGTTTTCTTCTGATTCAAAGAAGAAGAAGAAGTAGGAAAAAAAGAAGAAGAGTAAGATGAAGAGTCAGTGATTATACTAGGAATTTTCAATGTTTTTTGAACTGTGTTTGAGATTTCAAGTTTGAACTTGATCACCTTCTGTAGTTGTCTAGTCTGAGCATGAAGAATTAACAGAACTTCTTCATTCATCTCACTCAGACACTGCTTTTCAAGAATCTTGCTTGCTTTTTCAAGTTTCTGTATTTCAAGAACTTGTTGTTTCTCTATTTCTTCTTTCTTTCTTCTCTTCAGAATTTCAATCTCAGGAATAGCATTTGAGAAAGCATCTTTTTTCACATCAACTGAGTGTATTTTTGAACTCATTATTCTCACTCAATAAAAAGTTGGGTCAGAGTGGTTTCAATTGAGATATTTCTAAGTCTGTTTTCAAATTGAAAAGTTGATCAGACTGTTTCAAAAGAAGAATAAAAGACTTTTGTGTATAAAACACCTGATTTTTTTATTTCAA